GTGCGTGTGCGTGCGTGTGTGTGCAGACAGAGATCATCCGGAGGTGGGGTTACCCAGCAGAGGAGCACCAGGTGCTGACGGAGGACGGGTACATCCTGGGCGTGAACAGGATCCCGCGGGGACTGAAACCCTCCAAAGGTCAGGCGGAGGCTCTTCCTTCTCTGTGAGCACATTTGGTTACGGTGCAAACAGGAAGTTTTGCCATGTCATCGAGCTTCACTTCCTTTTTACAGCAGTCCTGATGAACTTTGTCCTGAAGTGATTCACGTGATCTTTCACCTACATTCACTTGACCTTCCTCTTCTCCCTTTAACGTCATGCTGGGTCTGAATCCAGATGTGGCTCTGTAGAAACCTGGCATCTGTTCCCGGCAGGTTTGATTTGACAGTTTGTGGTGTCCTGCAGGTGTGAGGCCAGCGGTCTTCCTCCAGCACGGTCTCCTGGCTGCAGGCAGTAACTGGATCACCAACCCACCGACCTCCAGCCTGGGCTACGTGCTGGCGGACGCGGGCTACGACGTGTGGATAGGAAACAGCCGCGGAAACACGTGGTCCAGGAAACACCGCACGCTGAGCCCGTACGAGGACGAGTTCTGGAGGTTCAGGTACCCGCCCCGCTATCCTTTCACCTGCGCAGGTGTCAGAGAGCATTAACATGACAGAGCTCTGGTGTTTGTCTGTGCAGCCACGATGAGCTGGCTCTGAAGGATCTTCCAGCTGTGGTCGACCACATCCTGAAGGTGACTGGCCAGGAGCAGATCTTCTACATTGGACACTCTCAGGGAACCACCATAGGTGCTTTTACTTTGAACTGGGGAGGTCCTGATTTCTGTCCCCAACAGGCTTCCGTACATGGAATTAATCTTCTCTTCGTTTCCAGCATTCATGGCGTTCTCCACGCTGCCAAAGCTCGCCAGCAAGATCAGGCTGTTCTTCGGATTGGCTCCTGTGGCCACTGTCGCCTTCACGGCCAGCCCCATGACCAAACTGTCCTTCCTGCCCGACGCCGTCATCTGGGTACGAACCAGTCACGTGACCACCAGCTAGTCGTGTTCTCGGTCGTTTGTCTGATCGCCGTCACATTTACAGTCAATAAGCTTTGTCTTGTTGTTTCTTGTTGGCCCCACAGGACCTGTTTGGGAGGCGGGACTTCCTGCCCCAGAGCGTGATGATTAAATGGTTGGCCGAACACGTGTGTGCGAAGCATCTTCTCAGCGAACTGTGCGGGAACATCTTCTTCGTCCTCTGCGGCTTCGACGAGAAAAACCTCAACATGGTTCGTGTCTTGCTGGGAAGCAGGTGGTGACCGAACGGGCACACCTGGACGTTAATCAAAAAAAAATGAAGTTTTCTGAAGATAATTAGAGTCAGAGCTGTTTGTGATGAAGGCCACATGGCTGTGTTTCAGACTCGGACTCCGGTCTACACCACTCACTGCCCGGCTGGGACCTCAGTCCAGAACATGATCCACTGGTCCCAGGTAACACACACACTCATACCTGCCTGTGAGTACATGTGGGGACCTTGATGTTGCTCTGCAAATACAGCCCACAGTGTGTGTCCACAGTGTGTGTCCACAGTGTGTGTCCACAGTGTGTGTCCACAGTGTGTGTCCACATGTCACCTCTTGGTTTGTGTTTAATGTTTTTGGTTCAGTAAATGAGAGCTCATTTGAATATTTCATTTTGTTCTTTGAGAAATGCTCACACGGATTATTATTCATTGCTTTTATTATTGATTGGCTGAACTTGGGTCACATGACCCTGTTTTATATTTAGTACACTATTATTGGTATTTCTGCAGCACAGTGGTTAGCACTGTTGCCGCACAGCAAGAAGGTCCTGAGTTCAATTCCACCATCAGGCCGGGGTCTTTCTGTGTGGAGTTTGCGTGTTCTCCCCGTGTTTGCGTGTTCTCCCACAGTCCAAAGACACGCAGTTAGTGGGGACAGGTTAACTGATGAATCCAAATTGCCCATAGGTGTGAGCGTGAGAGCGATTGGTTGTCTGTCCCTGTGTGTTGGCCCTGCGACAGACTGGCGACCTGTCCAGGGTGGACCCCGCCTCTCGCCCTATGACAGCTGGGATAGGCTCCAGCGACCCTGAAAAGGATAAGTGGAAGCGAATGGATGGATTATTGGTACTTATTTTTGTAGCTTTCATTCTGCTCTGGTGTGCCTGTACATGGGGCAGGTGTTAATAAAGTTTCCTGTATTCAGGCCGTCCACACAGGAAGACTGGTGGCGTTTGACTTCGGAGCAGCAGGAAACATGAAACACTACAACCAGGTGAGTCCACAGCACAGCAGGGACTCCTACAGACTTTGAAATGTCACCTGGTCCCTCGCTTACGGTCTCCGTGTCCTCCCTGTGTCCCCTCTGCAGTCCACTCCCCCCGAGTACCGTGTCCAGGACATGAAGGTTCCCACCGCTCTGTTTTCAGGGGGACAGGATACGCTGGCGGACCCAAAAGATGTGGCAGTCCTCCTCACTCAGGTGAGCATTACCTACGAGCTTTATTCACATTAGGCGATGATGGAGTACGGTGGGGGCGTGTCCTCGAATCTGATCATTAATGAAACAGGAGGAGGGGCCAGCCCGGATAACAGCTGTGTGTCTGCAGGTCCCTAACCTGGTGTACCATCAGCACATTGAGCACTGGGAACATCTGGATTTCATCTGGGGGCTGGATGCTCCGGAGCAGATGTTTCCTGCTATGCTGAAGCTGCTGCAGGAGTACCGATAGAGGGCGTGAGCAGCGGACGCCGCCCGCCGCAGCGTGGTTTATGGTTTTATGGAGACTGAGTTTTGACACTTCTTCCTGCAGCAGGATGTTTCTGTCCCGCCCTCCCTGCCTGGACCTGTCATATCACCTGCAGCTTTAAAGGCAATCGAAGCACGCTGCTGCATGTTTAAATGAACAGTCACTCTGAAGCGTTTTCATGGACCGCGTTCTCCTGCAGTTTGACTCACTTCTGCCGGGAACCAATGAGAGAGCAGCGTTGTCACGCTTCAGGTAACTATTTGTGTCACAATCTAACATTCAGCGTGTGAACAGGTCGCACGGCGAGCCCCGGGGCGCTCTGCTCAGAAGCAGCACGTCGGGTTGAATGTGTAGGACCAGAGCTGTGTGTTGGTCAGTGCGGCTTCTTTTTGCTACTTCCTGTTTTTAGCATGGAGACACTCGTCCTGAGGACAAACTGTGAAAATGTGGATGTGAGAATAAGAAGTGAATCTGCAGTTTCAGTCACCTGTGTGCGTTTTTTAACTTGCTGTGAAACCATTTTTACTCATTATGATGATGTTTCCTAAATAAAACCATTTTACGACCACAGCTTGTTTTCATTCCTCCTTTTCTGTCTGACAGCTCTTAATTTGAAAGTTTTAGTAGTCGTGACCTTTACCATGGAAATCTGAAAGGTAAAGTAAAACAAACAGCTGGAGAGTTTCAATGTAGTTTACAAGTTTATTCAGAAATAAAAATGTTACTTTGAAATGTTTCATCACCCGCTTCATTTCATGTCGACACTTTTATTATTATACCTGTTCGTGTAACAGTCCCAAAGCACACCTCTGCTGACAGTATAAGAACTACAGATAAACGGCGAGCTCTCAAATACTGTTGCCTAGCTTAGCACAAAGATTAAAAAATGAGGCAAAGCTATTAGCAAAATGTAACGTAAAGATGGGGCGAGAATTTCTAAAGTTTGTTTTGTTTCTTTTTAGTTGATAAATTGCAAAATTCAGTTAATTTTATGTCTTACAAAACAAGAAAAATGACTGTTAGCCTAGCTCGGTACAAAACCTGGAAGTGGAAACTAGCTTGTAGCCCGACAGGTGAGTGGTTAGCAAAGAAAACGCTGCATGCTAGGAGGTCTCTCTGAGATGCTAGCATCGTCAGCATAGAAGGCGGAGGAATCGGGTGTTGGCGCCCCCTGCTGTCCGCATGAATGAAAACTTCATTCCGTCTTCCTCAGCATGTTGATGATCTTTTGGAACTTGAGTCTGGTGGCGATGTCCAGCGGGGTTTCTCCGTTCTGTAAAAGCAGACACACGTGTTATCGGGTCACGGAAAGCGTCTTGTCACGGCGTGCTGCGCGTCTGTACGCACGTTATTCTTGATGTTGGGTTTGGCGTTTCGTTGCAGCAGCAGAGGAACCAGGCGATGACTTTTTCTCTCACAGACGTAATGAAGAGCCGTGTTCCCCTTCTGCACACAAAACACCTTTTTACTGTCAGGAAGTGGCCTGAGATTTTCAAATTAAACCGCGTTAAGCTCCTGTTCACGCACGTAGTCGACAGCGTCGACGCTGACGTCAGTGCTCAGCACGGCCTCCATCAGAGCCACGTTCTTCCTCTGTTTCTGCAGCTGCAACACAGAAACACCGGTGAGCAGATCAGACTGTGCTTTACCTGTATGATGTCACACTGAGAGAGACTGCTGATTGGCCGTACCATGATGAAGTATCCGAGCAGCAGGATGGGCATCAGGATGGTGATCATCAGATAATCCAGCAGTGAGAACGTCCTCTTGGAGGCGTAGTGGAGACACGTCCTCTGTTTCTGATGTGTGACACACACACACACACACACACACACACACACAGATCAGTAACACAGCTTGCTAACCAACATGATGACATCATCAGGGAAAGGCACCTTATTGGTCAGCTGGCTGTTGGCCTTGTTGTCCAGCAGGTATGTGACCGCATTCAGGTGACCGTGGCGGCAGGCAGCAATGAGGGGTGTGTCCCCGGTGTGCACCTCCTGAACATTCAGGTGGGCGGGGTCATTTTTCAGGAGGAAGTACAACTTACGGACGTCGCCCTCGTACGCTGCCTGGCAGGCCGGCTGAGGAGGAAGAGGAGGAGTTACATGAGTTAAGCTCCTTATCAGCTGATCAGGAACAGCCCGGTCTGTCCAGTTTTCTGCTCCTATCTCACTCACTCAAGCTCCTCCCCTTTTAAGACCGCTCTCTTCTGATTGGCTGATTCTCAACATGTAAAAAATTAGATCCCACCAGTTTCTCATTATTATTATTATTATTATTGTTATTTCAATAAAACTATTGTGTAACATTTGCTATCTTGATCTTGATTTCTTCTCTTTTTCCTGTTTTTGGTAGTTTTCTGAATATTTGCAGTCATTTTCTCGCAGTGTGTTGCAGTACTTGTGTTGCTGTGATATCCTTGCAGTACTGCAGTCATTTTCGTGTCTGTCTTCATATTTGTTGTCGGAGTGACGCCAGGTCATTAAACTTCTACCTGTCTGTTTGTTTCAAGTGAAGCTTTACCTGAAACTCAGGTGTGTGTGCACGAGAAATCAGCCCGAACCGGAAGAGCGCGCATGAGCCTTTCGGAGTAAAGAGTTAAAACGAGGATTAAACGTGTTTGTTTAGCAGAGAAAAGAGGGAAACAAAGCGCGCTCTTACCTCCGAGTAAACCATCCCCATGACGGCACGAACACACCTGAGCACGTCATGGTCCGATACGTCAGCAATAACACATCCGGATCCATTTTCAGAATAAGAGTCTCTTTGCTGTTTCACTTCATTCAGTTTATTACTAAACACACCAGAACACGTAGCTGAGTCTGGACGGCTTCCTGTTTCCACGTGACACTCGGAGGGCGCGCACGTGATCTCATGTGGTCTTTTCTTCCCAACAGAAGAACATTTGCTTCATTGTCAGACCCGGTGCTTTTATTTTGTAGGCCGCAAAAAGAACTTTGTGTACTTTACCTGCTGATGTTGAGACATCAGAAAGAGCCCGAGGCACAAAGGAGCAGGAGCAGGAGGAGGAGCCGAAGGAGCAGGAGGAGGGGCCGAAGGAGGAGCCGGAAGAACAGACAGGCAGGTAAACTCAGAGCATCACCAGGCGGTTTGAATGTTTTTATTTGAAATCAAACTTGAAAACATCAGCAGTGATTATCAGAGTCCAGAAGAGGGCGATAAACATCCGCACACACCTGATCACAGGTGCTCTCGGACCCTCGCTCTGCACCGCTCCACTTCCGGTGAGACCCGCCGTGATAAAGGCAACATGTCGAGCTTTAAAGCAGCTCTGCTCAGAAACAGTTGAAACGGTGTCCTTTATTCTGAAAGAGTCTCACCTGCTGTGCTGAAGGTGTTTCGGATGGTTTCTGTTGCTGAGGCCCCGGATGTTCTGTGACGGATGTCTGTCACAACCAATCTGTTCGCGTCATTATTATTGATGACATCATTTGATTATGTTTGCCGGGTCTCTGTCTGAGTGAGACCTCCCGCTGTTCTCCTGCTCTCTGTGGGGGCTTTCTGCGCATGTGCACAGAGGTCACACCCGCCGCGGTGACACCGTAAAGTGCGAGTGAGTCATCTCGATCTCAGAGACGATCTCTGCGGCTACCATCTCCGCGGGTAGTCGGTGTGGAACGGCGGCATCCTCCGGAGCTTTCATCCGTTTCTCACATCTGTCCCGCAGCTGGACCGGACCGGTCCGCACCGCCCTGGATCCGGTTCATCCTCCGCCGCCGGCCTCCATGTGTGACCGCGGGATGCAGCCGGACTGCGGGCTGAACGCCGACACCGAGCCGGTAAATCAATCATTTTCTTTATCGAGCTGATCAGGACCTGTAGACGTCATCATCAGGTGAAAGCAGCTGTTTCCAGATGTTTTCATGCTAAAGTTAAAACAGGGCTGTTTATTGGTTCCCCAGCAGCTCATTTTTAAACCAATCACTAATCAGTGAATCTGCTGATCAGCCTTTGTTTATCGATAAATCCTGTAATGACATGTTGAAGCCTTCAAACTTTAGTTTGAAAGTCTGTGACGTAGCAGATAAAGACTGTCAACTTTTATTTTGAAAATAGAGACTCAATGAACCCAAAACAAAGAAATAAAAGTTTAATTTTTAATTTCAGTCACTGAGCTTTTTTAAAACAAGCTTTTATTTTGAAAAATAAATCAATTAATTGATCTGCTAATTGAGGTGTGTCCAGCTGTGACATCACAGCAGCCTGAAAGCAAACCTGTGTTTAGGTTTACATCTAGATTTAAGGCGCTCACAGACATGTCCACCTTAAATCACATGTTTCAGGGGACTCCATGCAGGTGTTCACCTTAAAACACCTGCATGGCATCATCATCATCGTCGTTGCTGTCAGGTTACCTCAGGTCGTCTGCAGGTGTCGATGTGTTGCCGCTGGCTCGTCAGCACCTGAACGATCTGAATGAGGCCGAGCTGGTTCAACTCGTCACACCTGCATTACAAGCACTGAGCTCTGATTGGCTGACGGAAACGACGCCGACAGGTCTGATGTGTATCAGCTGATGTGAGCGGAGTCAGGAGCAGTTCAGTTTGATCCTCAGACACAGAGACGAGTTTACCTGGCCCAGGTGGAGGTGAGTCCCTCGTAACCTGCGACAGGCTCTCTATACCTGCCCATGAGGATCCCCTGGATCAGGGCCTCCTCTCCTCCAGGTGTTCACCTGCTGCAGGTGAGCCTCCAGATCTGATCCAGGACTGCCGTCAGACCAATGTGAAGGACTTTGAGCTTCTGCTGAGCGTAATGGTAGGATGGACAGTTGGTGGGGCTGGAGTCTCACCTGTGAATGGTTATAAATGAAAATCAGGGCGAGTTTGTTCTTTCGAAGCACTTCCAGCCAGGTGCAACTGTTGCCACGGTGACAGTGGCGTGATCAGAGCTGTTTGTTTGGACACAGAAGCTTGTGAGGAGTGGGAGCTCGCCTTGTCTTCATCGGTTTAAGAGCGGCTGAGTCACCTCATGGTTAGTCGCTGGTTGCCACGGTAACTGTGGACCAAGCTGAAGGACAGGCAGGCATGATGATGATGATGATGATGGTGATGAGGGGCTGATGGGAAATAAAACAGCTTTAAAGGAAGATTCCCCCCATATGTGCCGTTTCAAAGCTGCTCATCTTGTTTTTCTGTCTCCCCCGCAGTGAAGCATCATGGGAGGTGGCAGATGGACGAGCCGGCCGTGGGCCGACCAGTGACACGCACACGCTGAGACACACACACACACACACACACACACACACACACACACACACACACACACACACACACACACGCACACACACAATGGAACAAGGCTTCAGCTTAAACACATTGGTAAGTACTGAGTGTGTGTGTGTGTGTGTGTGTGTGTGTTTTACTGATGCTGTGGGGACCCACACGTGTTCTTGTTACTCACAATGTGGGGACAGAAAAACACGCATCATAACAGCTTTACAACACAACAGTGACACGACTGCCAGCACGCGCTGAGGTCTACAACGACTGCATCATTTCACCTGGATGCTGAAAATCACGTCTCTTACTTTATTTTTGTCATTTAATTATTTAACTAAAAATGAAATAAAATGAAACGAGTGTGATTAAAAAAGTGAAAGAAAAAAAGAGTTGTAATAAAATTAAATTACATATAAAATCAGAATCAGATTAGAATAAAATTAGAAGTAAAAGACAAAATGCTTCCTGATCAGTAAGAACAAAGTTTTATATAAAACATCAGATCAAAGGTGAGACAGAGTGGGGTTGTTTCTGTGTCGGCTCGGTGCACAGAGGTCTTCTTATCCTCGGCGCTCCGACTGGCGCCGTCATCTTAATGAGCTGAGCAACAAACGCTGCATTCAGGCTCCCAGCGGGGACGGGAAATCTCAGTTTCCTGCCTGAAAAACACTTCAGCTCAGCTGTGACGCCATTCAGAGTTTTTAATGTCGGCTCCTTTAATGAGTTTCGTGTCCTTAAGCTCGTCACCTGCTATTAAACAGAACACATTTTTAAAATCTTTCACTGAGATATTTTACTTTACTTAGTGGTCGAGCCGTAGAGAAAGCCTCCTCAAACCCGGGTCTCTGAGGGACACGGGTCTCTGAAGGGTCGTTCTGAGCATCGATGACCGTTCCAAACTGAAATCATTGGTGCTCATGTTGATGTTTTTAGAGGCTGCTGCCATCTTTGCTCTTCTCTGACAAACACTTTCTTCCACAGAAGAAGCTGGCAGCAGAGCCCGACTACACAGACGTGTCGCTGACGGCGGCGGAACGCGTCCGAGCGCTGGGGAAGATGGGATGCTGCGTGGAGATCAACGAGGACATCGCGCCCAGACGCTACTTCCGCTCGGGCGTGGAGATGGAGCGCATGGCGGCGGTTTACCTGGAGGAGGGCAGCCTGGAGAACGCCTTCGTCCTCTACACCAAGTTTATCACGTGAGGCTCAGTGGCGTTGGGGGCGGGGCTGCTTGGTGTTTCGCACAGCATGTGATGTGACGGCCGCTGTCTTTCAGTCTATTTGTAGAGAAGCTGCCCGCTCACAGAGACTACCAGCAGTGCACTGCCATCCCCGAGAAACACTTCATCATGAAGGTAACAATCGTTATGAACTTCCTGTTTTATTTTGAAGACGCTCACCTGCCTGCTCTTGAGCCACTTCTACTTCCTGTCTTTGTTTGTTTCCCCACCAGCTGCAGACAATCACCCAATCAGCCTGTGTGTTATCACTCCCAGCTTCCTGTTGCTCAGGTTGTTGCTCGCTGTGCTGCAGCTTTCCCCTCGCCTCCTCCTGTAAGTGTTTTAGGTCGCTCCAGCTAGCAGTTGTTAGCTTCCTTTGGCCTCTGATGGCTCCAGGTAGCTCCAGCTACATCCAGCTAGCTCCTGCTGCCATGCTGGTTTAAAATCTGGCTCGATGGTTGTAACTCATCATTTGAGATGTGGTGGTTTGTCCTCAGATGTCGGTAGATTTTCTCCAGGCTGCTTGTCGTTAGCAGTTTGTGGACAACACAGTGGCAGTTAGCTTCTGTTAGCGCTATGATGCTCGTCTTTCTCAGAGCAGCCTTCAGTCTGTCGCTCTTGTCTGAGTTGTTTTCCACGCTAGCAAATCTCTAGATCTATGGGCCTGTTTCTTGTTGGCACTTAACAACCTTTGGTGCATCCATTCTGCCCATGAAGAGGCTTCAGCTGAGGCTTCAGGCCGGACTAACCATGCACTGTTTATTTTTTTAATCTTGGGATGTGGTGGAGTTTTAAAAAGTCAGGCTCAGAGTTGAACCAGGATTAAACGCTGTGCACTGCTGACACAGATCTGGCTCATACATCGAGTCTGTGGTTTGTTAGCAGGATGATGGAGATGTCACTCCACATGTTTAACACATGAACAAGTTTCCAGATCTCCTGCTCGATTTGTGCTCGGGGATGTTTCGACTGAGATCCTGTTGGCTGAAGCTGGTGGGCGGGGTGTTAGTGTTCAGGTGAGAGTGTCTGGCAGGTTGGAGCTGAGACAGATACTTGTTCGTTAATCAGCTGGCTTAAAAGTGCCGTGTTGGTCGCTGCGAGCAGGCTCGCCGCCGTCGTGTAGAAACATCTGTCCTGATGCTGAGCTCACGCTTTCACGGGTGCGTCAGAAAAGTCACGACCGTTTTTATCATGGTAGAAACACGAAAGTTTTCATCCCTGGAAGATTCTAGAAAACTGATCGTGCAGCAGAAACATCAGGAAAGATCTGGAACTCGTGCAGTTGCCACAGCTGGAGCTTAAAGAGCAGAAACATAACAGCTGGATTTCACTGAACTTTTCTGGGTATCGGTCTGTGAGATGGCGGGCGAGGGCGACCATTTCCGCCCGTCTCGTCGTATTTGTTCCTTCCTGTTTTTGTTTTGAGCGCGTGTGTCAGCGTTTCCTTGGTTTATTCTTAAATGTGATGTTTCTAAGTAGGCGACACGATGGTGGAGCACAGGCTGACGTAGTTAAACTCGTTCATCGGTGTAAAGTTGGCTTGGCTGGTGGAAGACGTCTTTATAAGTGGCGGACGTCGCTGGAAACGTGTCCAGTCCTTAAACCAGACTTCAAATCTTTGTCTTGTTGTTGTGGCTGTGAAGGACTGCCTCCATCTGGCCCCTCCCCCCCCATCACGCCAGCCCTACATCATGAATCCTCCTGAGTCGAGGTGGACCCAGAGTGACCTCTGTAAAGTCACACATTTATGCTGTTTTTGGTGCTCCAGCTGCGGTTCCTCAGGTGTTCCTGCTGCAGAACCACACCTGGTTCTGGTCCTGGTGTCTTTGCTGTGACCTGTTCTGTCTGTGCAGAAACTTCAGGAGGTGGCGTTTCCCCGTAAAGACGAGCTGAAGAAGCGCCTGGAGGAGAAATACAGCAGGGAACACAGCGAATACCTCAGAGCCCAGGTGAGTGAGTTTTCACAGTATTGATTATTGATCAGAGGAGCGCTCGGTATGGGAACGATCCAGGGGAACGGCCTCTGCGCGGTGAGTCCATCCCACCTGTCTTTCAGGTGAAGGTTAGCGTGTGACACGCCTGTCAGAGGTGACCTCCTACAGTGATGTTCAGACTAGTATTCGTTTATTTTAGGTGAACTCGCCGCAGCCACCTGTACGAGCTCATCTTTGTTTCCTCAGAGCCAGGCGGCGGTCGTGGTGCACGGGTGTGGCCAGCAGCTGCAGCAGCTGTCCCTATTGGACGAGGACAGGAGAAGGTTCCTGCTGCTGGAGGAGGAGAGGCAGCGCGTCGCCGCTCTGCGACGCATGCAGATTGAATCGGAACAGTTTCGCTACTTCGAGGACCAGCTGAGACGCCAGGAGCTGGCCAATAAGAGAGGAGTGGAGGCGGAGCAAAAGGTAGCGTATTCTTCATAGTACAGGCTTAAGGAATTTCTCGCTGGCTTAGTCTTCTCGACCCGGAAGCTGCGTCGATGTTTTGTGTCGTACTGCAGTGCCTTTGGCAGCAGGACAACCTTCATGTACGGACCTGCCTCGTCCACAGGGAGCAACACTAGCTAACGTTAGCCAGCATTAGCTTACAAAGAGAGTCCAGTAAATGTCCGGCTCAACACAAACTAACACTCGTGTCTCATTTTGACGTTAGAACTAGCTAAAGCTAACCAGCTAGCTGGTGTTAGCAGGGAAGCTAAGGTCAACCAGCTTTACACTCTCAGGATTAAACTCTAACCTGACCCTGAGCTAACGTTAGCCTGCCTACTAATAGATTAGCTTGTGAAGTACTGGTGTACTGTAATACTGGCCCAGCCTACTGAGTATGTGAGTACTGTGTAGTTTGACTGTGTCTTTCATGTTTGTGTTGCAGGTTCAGACCAAAGTGCCTGAGGTGACAGACGGCTCCCGTTTGTCCCAGCAGCCAATCAAAAACAGCATACGATCCCTGGGGGCAGACCCTAACAGAAACAGACTGCCTGCCCCTGTGAGCCAACCTGCCGCCACGCTGGCTGGAGTACAGAGTCAGTACACAGTCACTCCGTTTACCTGCGTGTACTGCGTACCTGTCGTATGCGGTGCAAAAGGTTCAATCAGACCTCCACACAGACGTTACGCCCTCTTAAACCAGGTGTGTTTGTGTACAGGTGAGAGGGTGGAGGGCCTGAGGCGAGTCCTGATTCCCAAAGGGCTGACTCAGAGTTTCCTCTCGCTGGCCCGGTCAAACACGGCCAGAGGAATCGAGACCTGCGGCGTCCTCTGCGGACAGCTGGTGAGCGAAACGCACGTCCTGTCACGCCCTCACCCATTTCCAGTCATATACCACCAGCCAAGCCCCGCCTCTCTCTCATTCTCAGACGCACAACGAGTTCACGCTGACTCACGTCGTAGTCCCCAAACAGACCGCCGGCCCGGATTTCTGCGACATGGAGAACGTGGAGGAGCTGTTCAGCTTCCAGGATGAGCATCACCTGCTGACGCTGGGCTGGATCCACGTAAGCATGCAAGCTGGGGGGAGGGGCTTGGAGGAGGTCCTGGAGCTCCATGATTGGCTCTTGTAGAGATGCAGTTAACCTTCTTCGTAGCAACAGCAGTTTGTGAGAACAGAAACAGTGCGACACTAAAATAAACTGTAAGGTTACCCGTCTGATTAATGTCCTCACAAACGACTCACTCGGGGCCTCTTTTGGTGAGTGGTTTGGTATCAAGTCCCCACAAGTGCTGTAAGCGAGCACACGCTCCTGAGAAAACCAGTGTTTCTCCTTCATTTACATGATCATATATCACCATGGAAACGGTGCCTGCGGTCGAGCAACAGATGAGCAGAGCGAGGGAGAGGTCTCGCTCTGCACTCTCTCACTCTCCACGCGTCACTTCAGTCAGGGTTGTAGTTCAGTGTGTGTGACCTCTGACCTCTGTGTTCAGACTCATCCCACTCAGACGGCCTTCCTGTCCAGCGTCGACCTCCACACTCACTGCTCATATCAGCTGATGCTGCCGGAAGCAGTCGCCATCGTCTGCGCGCCAAAACACAACGAGTAAGTCTGTCACTGGAGCACGCATGTATGCCGATTTCCCACGAGGCCTTTCAGCCCGCTAATGTCGCTCCGCCTGTCTCCCCCCCAGCACAGGTGTGTTCAGGCTGACCAACCTGGGGATGTCCGAAGTTTCTGCCTGCAAGCTGAAAGGTTTCCATCCTCACTCCAAGGAGCCGCCGCTCTTCACGGTGAGACCCTCGCCGAGGTCGACCTCATCGTCAGGATACCGCGTCCTGTGTTCAGCCCCGACTCTGAATCACCTGTAACCCGTCCTCTTTTGTCCCCTCAGGTGTGCAGACACGTCGTGTTCAGGGACTTGCGGCTTAACCTGCTGGACTTAAGGGTTTAGACAGGAAGCACTGGCAGGCTTTTATTCTGAAGAGCAAACTGTGAACGCACCGCCGGTGTTTGCTGACACGTTGTGATGTCAAATTTACAGGAAACTTTTAACCCTTTTAATTTTTGGTGGTTTTTTTGTTGTTCTTTGTTTTGTTTTTTTGCTGCTGAGCCACTGCAGATGGGGGGGGGGTGATCTCAGGCCAGTGAGCTGCTCTGATTGGGCAGTTAATAAAAAGCTTACTGAGACCTAACCTCAGCTGATGCTGCCGTCACAGCAGCGCTGTGAAAATGGCGTCTGCAGAGACCCAGATTGGGCCAAGCTCCCGTCGAGGCGACTGCCAGCGAGCCGTTTGAGACACAGTTTGATGTTTTAAATGGAAGATGGACTGGGAGCAGACGTGAGCGAGTGCCTCGCCTGGAAAACGTGAACGTTGAAGCGTTGGCGCTCTCAAGGACGAAGTCTCTCCACGCTTCACTCAGACTAAAAATGACCTTTAACCGCCACAGCTTAGTTTCAGTGCTGAAATCCTGCTGCCATCTCTGACCCTGAACGCCTCGCGCGTCCACCTCTGGCTGTGACCTTACTTCCTGTTAGGCAGCTTCCCTGACACTCTGATTGGCTGTGGCGGTTCAGTGTTGTGAGGTTTGGTCAGAGGTGAAAGTCATTCTTTGAGCTCTTCGCTGCTGCAGATGTGAAACTGTGAGGAGACTCTTAACACTCTGTCATTTTAGGCGAGACAGTTCACGCCATAAGCTACTCTGACCTTTGACCTCGAGTGGGGTGCCATGTAAGGGTGGCAGACAGCAGGGGGCGCTGCAGGCTCACCGGTGTGTGTCGTGTAACGCTGGCTGGCGTGGCGCTCACAGCGGGCCCTTTTAAACTTCTTGCAGATGAAATTATTTTCTGATGTTTCACTCGTGGTGCGTTCAAGGCGCCCCGCAGCTGGAGGACTTCTCAGTGTGTGCACCAGCAGATGTTTTCTTGTTGAGCTGTTGTGTGACTGTTTTTTTTTGCTGATGACGTTTTGACAAACTGTGACCTGACTGCTGTTTTTAACTTTTTGGTAATAAAACACTCTGCTGCTCCAGCACCCGTATGCGTCTGTTTTTTGATTAAAAGTGTCTGAAACTGATCGCTCCACCCACCCACTCTGATCGCTCCACCCACTCAAACCCACAGACTGCTCAGATCTTTAACTTCTCACACAAACTTGCTTTCAGAGGAAAAAGAAAGACGCAGTACCATCTGCAGGCTGACGCTTCACTTTGTTTGGAGGATTTCTGCACTCTAACTGCGGCTCTGTGGGACAGAAACTAAACGGTGGTGATGGTTGGAGCCCTCCTGCTACGAAGTATTCGAGCATTTGGTGTGTGACTGAGGGGTGTGATGGCAGCAACCTGACACTAATACTCAAAGACACGAGCCCGTTTGTGAGCAGCGTCTGTTGCACTTGTTTAAAAACACTGTTCTTAGCGCTGCAGCAGCGAGTACAGACGCTCTCATACAAACTCATCTCCCTCTGCAGGACCTGTGGAAGTCCTGCAGAGGGAGATGAGTTTGTGTGAGAGCGTCTGTGTTAGGATCATCATCGTTTGGTGATTCTGTTCTCAGACATGGTTAATGGACTGATTCTTATATAGCGCTTTTCTACTCTCCCGGAGTACTCAAAGCGCTCTATACAACATGCCTCATTCACGCCCACTCATATACACGAGTGCAAACTAACCTGCATTCGCATGCATTCACACTCGGATGAACCTGGAGGGCAAGGCTACTTGGCATGCAGACTGGGGAAGCCAAGGATCGAACCACCGACCTTCCGATCAGCTGATCTGCTCTACCATCTGAGCCACAGCCACCCCGACATGTGAAGCTAGAGACACCGGCAACCATAGTCAACTGTCTTCCAGGGGCCAGAGCTAAAACAATGTGGGACTCTGTAGTTTTCTCTGGTCCCCTCCCCAATCAGACCAGCAGTGACATGTTTAGCCACATGTTCTCCTTAAACTGCTGGCTGTCTGAGTGGCGTCCCAGAAACGATGTGGGCTTCATAGATAATTGGCAAACCTTCTGGAGGAAACCTGGTCTTGTTAGGAGTCAAGTCATCTTTATTTATACAGCACATTTAAAAGACATCAAGTGTCAGCCAAAGTGCTGAACTGAGGGATGATATAATAAAAGAATTAAAGTAGAAAGAAAACATTTTAAAAAGGAATTGTAAGACATGTAAGAGTATATAGCATATAATGTACATGCACATATGCACATACATATACAAAACTGTACACATTCACACACAAGCACACATATGTGAACATAACGTATATGCACATACAACATCACCCAATAAGATGAGAGACCAAATAGACAGAATAAAAAAGATATCAAAGAGATCCGAAAGCCTTGGAAAATAAGTAGGTCTTGAGATTTGATTTAAAGACTTCCAAGGATGAAGAGGATTTTATGAAGGGGGGAAGACTATTCCAGAGTCTCGGGGCGGCCATGGAGAAAGCCCTGTCACCTCTAGATTTGAGCTGGGAGCGTGGAACAGATAAAACCATCTGACTGGAGGAGCGCAGAGATCGAGTGGGTCGGTGCAGGCTAAGAAGGTCTGAAATGTAACCTGGAGCCAAACCATGGAGAGCTTTAAAAACAAATAGTAAAACCTTAAAATCGATTCTATGTTTAAGTGGTAGCCAATGTAGAGATGCGAGTACCGGGGTAACATTCTCTCTCTTTCTAGTGCCCGTCAGGAGCCTTGCGGCTGCATTTTGAACAAGTTGCAGGCGTGACAGGCTCGAGTGACAAATGCCTAAATAGAGAGAGTTACAATAGTCAAGACGTGACGATATGAAAGCATGGATAACAGTTTCCAGGTCTTTAGATGACAGGATATTTTTGAGTTTAGAAACGCTCCTGAGTTGGAAAAAACTGCCACAAACGACTGGATTTATTTGCTTGTCCAGCTTGAGAGTGGAATCAAAAATGAAACCAAGATTTTTTACACGGGGATGTACATGAGCTGATAATGGGCCCAAATTGTTTCTTTTGAGACTAATAGAGTCCTGCTTACCAAAGATTATAATGTCGGAGCTGAATGAGGTCTCGTCTCTTCAGTGGGTCTCAGGCTCCGCCCACCCTGGTTGCACTCTAGGATGAACACCTGTCTCGGGTGGGTCTGCAGGAAGGGGTTATGCAGTCTGCTGGTCGTTAATGTTTACACTAATAAAGCGTTTTTGTTCATGCCTGTCGCGTCCGGAACTGTAGAAATCACAATTATTGTCTGAAGGCCGATAAAAATGCCCAACTGATTTTGTTTTGCCAAACGGATCATTACGGCTTTGCCACACTGGTCCACTTGATTTATCTTTATTATTTAATAAAGCTGTATTGAAATGTTTAAATCTTTACTGTCAGCAGCTGCAGTTCCAGCACGGACCACCAGGTGGCAGTACATCCCCCAGGACTTGTTCCCACTGCTGAGTTCAGTAAAGTTCACTTATTTTCAGTTTTACTGTTTATCTGCTTCAGTCTTAATCAGCTTTGGTTGCTATGACAACAAAGTTAAGCTCAGGTGAAATAAAAGAGCGACGCCGTTCAGGTATGAGAGCGCTTTATTGTCTTCCTGGGTTCATTCAACCGCCACTTCCACGTTCACATCACCACCTTGTCAAATGTTACTAATACAGATAGCACCACGAGGTCACACCTACCCACAGGTCAACAGCAGTGACATCATCATACACCGTGTGACATCATCAGAGCGCCGCGTGAATGTGATCGATAGAAGACGACACCAGCGGGCAACATTCAAGCTTTATTCATCAAAAATAAAAACGCACTTTCTGACAGGAAACAGCACCAACATGGAGCTCAGAGGGGGCGGGGCCACAGGTGGAATGTGGGGTGGTGGGGTTGCAGAGGGCAAGTGGCACATTCACAGTTTGAAGGTGAGCAGAGAGGGAGGATGTTTGACTTTCTGGAAGTTCTTCAAAAACAAACATGACATCACTTTCTGTCCTCTGAAGTTAACGCTGTTGAGCGCTCTGACTTCCTGTCGTCCCTGCGGGCCTGATTTCTGTGTCTGATCTGGGGTCTGTTAGCGGGTGCTCAGTGCAGGCTAAAATAACGTTGTGCTAAAGGCGAAGGGGGCGGGGCTTGAAGGCCCGGGCGCAGCCTTTAGAAGCACTTGCGGTGGACAATGGAGGGTCCGGCCTCGTCGTACTCCTGCTTGCTGATCCACATCTGCTGGAAGGTGGAGAGCGAGGCCAGGATGGAACCGCCGATCCACACCGAGTACTTCCTCTCCGGGGGAGCGATGATCTGAGAGAGGGGTCAAAAGTTAACTAATTTTCTGCTGAATGTGAGTGAGCCTCAGTGAGGTCGTCAAGCCTCACCTTGATCTTCATGGTGCTGGGGGCCAGAGCGGTGATCTCCTTCTGCATGCGGTCTGCGATTCCCGGGTACATGGTGGTTCCCCCAGACAGCACGTTGTTGGCGTACAGGTCTTTACGGATGTCGATGTCACACTTCATGATGCTGTTGTAGGTGGTCTCGTGGATGCCGGCCGACTCCATACCTGCAGGAGGACCGAGGACCAGATGCTGGGTTAGAGAGGTTCAATCAGCCATAAGTGTTACAAAAGACCCGTTGACGGAGCGATCAGTCGAATCTGAGCTTTTCTCGATCGTCAGCATTGGAGAATCTGCTGATTGTCTTTGTTTTTTGGGTCTGAAGATGTTCGGACACATCAGATCAAGTATTCAGGAGCGCAAACTCAACAGATTAATAAAACAAAAAAAAGTGTTTTATTAAGTAGCAGAGTTCTACTCTAACCAGGTACAGGGAAAGACAGGCAGGAGGGACCGACCGATGAAGGAGGGCTGGAATAGCGTCTCAGGGCAGCGGAACCTCTCATTGCCAATGGTGATGACCTGCCCGTCAGGAAGCTCGTAGCTCTTCTCCAGCGAGGACGAGGTGGCGGCTGTCCCCATCTCATTCTCAAAGTCCAGAGCCACGTAGCACAGCTTTTCCTTGATGTCCCGCACGATCTCTCTCTCCGCTGCAGGCATACAGACAGACAGACCGGGTCAGAAACATTATCACAGGTGACTCTGACATTACCTGGAAGTGGGCGTGACCTACCGGTGGTGACAAAGCTGTAGCCTCGCTCGGTCAAGATCTTCATGAGGTAGTCGGTGAGGTCGCGGCCCGCCAGGTCCAACCTCATGATGGCATGAGGTAGGGCGTAGCCCTCGTAGATCGGCACATTGTGGGTGACGCCATCACCTGAGTCCAGGACGATACCTTGAGGGTAGAGAAACAGGACAACTTTGATTAATAACCTTTAACTTTAACCTTTAAACCCACAGTTTTCAATCCGTCACCGTGACAAAAAATATAATTAGAAACAGTGCAGCCATTCTTGCTGCTATGCAGATTCAAATCAAACTGAGGTTATTGTACTTGGCCCTGAAAATCATAGAAATATGGTATCTAACCAGATTCTTACTCTGGATGGCATTAAGTTGGCCTCCAGTAACACTGTGAGGAACCTTGGAGGTGCTTTTGACCAGGAGTAAAGCACCAAAAATAAGATGAGATTGTGATTAAGGAGAAAGTAGGAGGTGTGGTCCAACCTGTGGTACGTCCTGAGGCGTACAGTGATAGGACGGCCTGGATGGCCACATACATGGCAGGAACGTTGAAGGTCTCGAACATGATCTGAAAACAAAAAAATCGTGGAAATATTTAGTCTTAACCATCAATCTGTGTTCCTCCAGGAACAGACAGAAGAATCCAAAACCTGCAGTTCCTTTAGCATCCAGCAGAGGCAGCAGTGCGTCAGCCCCCCACAGACTTCCACGTTGAAACTTTACACCAAAAATAAACATTTTTAAAGCCTGATGCACAAACTGTTTGGTCTCTGTAGATAATTTGCCCTTCTTAACATCTGTTTTTAAATCATATTAAGTTTGCATTATTAGGGGCGTGGTTACTTTGGCTGACAGGTGGATAGTGACACAGGTGGCTGTAGCTGCTAGCTGCCTGCTAGGCTTTGCCTCAGCTAATTGGAGTCCATGAACTGGGCCTCTGCACCCAGTGTTGTGCTGGTGGAGCTTTTTGGAGCATTTTAAATGATGTAATGTGACCAGTAACATGGCTGCTGTAAGGTCACTGTACTAACAGATAATCCCAGGAGGCTTAGATCCAGTTTGCTGAGTGTATGTTACTGATTAGCAGGTATCTGCGTCTGTGTGATAAACCTGTACAGTGTGTGGATACAGACTGATAGCCAAGAATGCTAGCATTAGCTTATAACTTTCAGCATTCCACCCGCTGACCAAATATGTTCACTTCCTGAAGCAAAAACCCACTACGGCAGTACCCATAAACTTAAGATTTAAAATCTGACTTTGAAAAAATTAATGGGTGATGTCATGATGTCCATTATTTATCTACAGTCTGTGGGATACCTGCTTCATCTTGTTGTTTGTTGTACTGTAGTGTACTTTTACACTGCAATACATTATGTATATGTGTGTGTATATATATATATATATATATATATATATATTATCAGTACATGTAGAGCACTATACTATAGCACTGCATTACTGTGGTACATGTAGTAGAGTGTAGTACCTGTGTCATCTTCTCCCTGTTAGCTTTGGGGTTGAGTGGCGCCTCAGTCAGCAGGGTGGGATGTTCCTCTGGAGCCACTCGCAGCTCGTTGTAGAACGAGTGGTGCCATATCTGACCAATCAGAGAGCAGAGCAGCAGTCACACAGGTGTGTGTGTGTGTGTTTGCGCGCGTCCATGTGTGTGTGTGTGTGAGACACACCTTCTCCATGTCGTCCCAGTTAGTGATGATGCCGTGTTCGATGGGGTACTTCAGGGTCAGGATTCCTCTCTTACTCTGAGCCTCGTCACCCACGTAGCTGTCCTTCTGCCCCATGCCCACCATCACTCCCTGCACCACACAGAGCGCACTCAGTTTACTGTCTGGTACTCACCTGTGCCCACTAACCTCACTGTCCCCTGATTCTTCAATAATATATTACTGTCATAATCCCGACATTTGTAACTGGATGTGCGTGTGTATGTGTGTGTCTGTCTATCTGTATATGCATGTGTGTGTGTCTGTTTCTGTGTGTGTGTGTTTGTTTCTGTGCATTTGTATGCATATGTCCCTGTGTGTGTGTGTGTTTGTACCTGGTGCCGGGGCCGGCCCACGATGGAGGGAAAGACGGCTCTGGGAGCGTCGTCTCCGGCAAATCCGGCTTTGCAGAGACCGGATCCGTTATCGCAGACCAGAGCGGTGCTCTCCTCGTCATCACACATGACTGCAGGGGGCGCTGTAGACGAGCAACGACACTACGACACCGAGTCACACTGCAGGCAGAAGAAGACGCAGGTTCAATTACTTATCATCGGCAGGCGTGTGTGAGCGCTCGCCACTCAAACCATCCACATGTGTCACATCCCAACATTATTCTGTTTGAGCACTCGGCGCCGCGGCGGCCTGTGAGGGCTCACGGCTCTGACGGTGATCCAACCACTCGACATTTTTGTTCATTTGTGCTTTTGGAGACAGTTTAAAGCTTCAGCAGGAAGTGAGCAGGGAAAGGCAACTTCGACACATCGTATTGAAGGTCACACAGAGCCGGGCTGAAGGTCCCTGCAGTACCGCGCTCCACCACAAGATGGCGCAGTGAGCTGACATGACCTTCAGCAGGTAAGAAGACGCTCCTGTTGAAGCAGTGAGGTTAAAATGGATCGTCCGCACAGAGGTAAACCTGCCCGAGGACCTCACATCATCCAGCTGCAGCACCCCCCCAAACATGAGGCACTCTGGGAAAACTTCCTAATTAGGACATGAAGCAGAGTCCTGCCTGTGTTTGGTATGCTCACTCGCCCTCTCTCCCTCCCTGTGCTCTCTCTGCCTCCCTCCCCTCCCCATGTGTCCCTCATCGTCTCCTTGCCTCCTCACCTCACATCTGTCCATATTTAGTCATGAATCTGGGAATCGAATATTTCTGATTTTCCCTCCAGCAGAGCTCATGGGCTCAGTTTGCCCTCAGTCCTGCCTGCCAGCTTCGCTCGACATCTGTGGCATAAACTCCAAACTAAACCTGCAGCATCAGCTGATTTCATCTAACTGTCATCCAGATGTTTAATGCAGAGGCGAGCACAGCTGCACGCTGCATGAAACACAAACCTTTCAAATTTACCTTTTAAACCATGAAACATTTTTTCTGCAGATTTCAAACTGGCTGTGAGCAGCAGGGGGCGCTGCTGCACCGCCCTGACAGGTTTTACAGCTACAACTACATGTGTGTGTTTCACGTCTTTCCCTTTCTTCAATTTGTAGAAAAAGTTTTAAGGAAAAAAAAGCTAAGATCATAAAAACTGTGTTTTCACGTCTCTGTGCTGCCGCAGGTGTGCTGTAAACACACGAGGCCGTGTGTGTTCAAACTTTAAACACACACGGCTGAGAGGCAAAAGTAAAGACATCACTCGTCCTCACACGAGGCTACGGAGGCCTGTTTGTGCCAAAAAACTAAATTCAGAAATGATATGGAAAACACAGACACACTCCCCATACCTGTGTTCAAGTACAAGTTAATATTTGATTTTCTTTTTGTATTTAATCAATATTTCAGTTTTTAAATATATATTTTTCAGCCTACATTTGATTTTTTTCTTTATGTTCTTCAAATTTCTCTGGGACATCTGAAGCATGAGAAATGTTTCATGTATTTTTAGTTTTCACCAATTTTACTCTGTGGGGGGAGTCACTCCCCCCTGCTGGCTGGAATGGTCCACAGGTTTCTCTTATTCATTTAAAGCTGATCGGAGATCAGTGGATTGAAGCTTTGCAGAGCTCAATGAGGATTCAATCTGATCAATGTTCAATTAAAGTTTCAGTTTGAACCAAACTTCAGTCAGAAAAAGTCCAATTTTACACACACGAGAAACACCAAAGTTTCAACGACCTGAAACATGGAAAAACACGCGAGGAGCAGCAGGAGGAGGAGAGAGGAGGTGAAAGGTGCCACTTTCTCACTGTTCACTACAACCACGAGGAGCACAGCAGAGAAGGACACAGAGGAGGTGGAGGAGAGGCTTAATGAACGGAGAGGAGGTGAAAAAGGTTCCATAGCTTTTACACAGTTTTACATGAGAAAGAGCAGAAAGGAGGAGAGCGAGGAGGTGCTGGAGGAGGTGAGCTGCGAGAAGAAACTGGGAGGTGATGGAGGAGGTGAAATCATGGAACTGTAGAGAAAATAAAAGAGGTAGACGAGGCGAAGTAAAGACAGAGAAGGAGCTGCAACATTTTTAAAGTGTCAGAGCAGAGGAGCAGAGAGGAGGAACGGCAGCTTCATCACACTCACACACAGGCAGCCAGGTGAGGAAGAAGAGGTGGTGGAGGTCTTACCGTGGTGGTGCAGGGCCTGCTGGGATGTGGGGGCGGGGGCAGGACAGAAGTGAGAGTCTGCAGAGCTGCGACTGAGTTTATCAAGCCTCCACCTCCTCCATCCATCCCTCCATCCCAAACAAGGCTCTGAGCCCCCTCCTGTCTCCTCCCTCCCCCCGCGCCTCCCCCACTCTCCCCTGCTTCAGTCCTTATAGGGCAGGCCTCGAGGGAAGCAGCCAATCACACGGCTGGTGGTGCCCCCGGACTTTCTCCCATCATTCACTGCATTCCTCAGAGAGAGAGGAGCGCCGAGGGCTCCTGGAGATCACACAGCCAGTGTAATCAGATTACACAGCCAGAGTAATCAGATTACACACTCAGAGTAATCAGATTACTCAGTGAAAGTCCTACTTTCACTGTGATTGGGGTTGAAGAGCAACTCCTCTGGCAGTTACAATGATGAATGAATGAAACGTGCATCGCCCCCTGCAGGCTGCTGGCGGTATGCCTCATAAGTCCCGCCCCCTCCACGTTAACAGCTGGGATATAAACCAAAATTAAAACAATAATTAACCCTTTAAAGCCGGTCAGAGCGGGCACGCTCCGTTTTGCGTAACTATTTTTAAATCCCGGTAGCTCTGCAACCACGTAATCTAGCGCAATAATTTTTTTTGCATATGAAACCGGAGGAGTTGTTCTTGCATCTGATGCCATCAGCTTGTCCTCGGTCACAGTTTCCTTCCACATAAATCTTTGCAAAAGCTGCATAAAAAGCTCTTGCAGGAACAAAAACATAATATTCCAGAAACGCTTTGCTGATCCGATCAGCTGTTCGTAACACTTCTTACGTCCATCAGCGTGAACTATCGCATGTCCGCCATGACCTGCCTGAAACCGGAAGTGACGTCATTTTGCGGAAATGTAGTTCTTTACCATCAGGGCCTCATGAGCCTATACTGGTGTTTTTAAAAGTTATCTTTGACTTTATGACTTTCTGTGTTGTTTCTGGGATGCTGAGGACTCATATTGCACTGCTGGAAATAGTTAATTTTGATCCATATGCTGCTTTTTTGCAAATTTGCACTATAATATTTATTTTTGTTTTTCCTGCAGTATATAAAAATTGGTGTATTTCAAAAATAAAACTATGAAGACACTCAAAATAAATTTCCTGTGGTGGGAAACTATTTTGTGCAACTTTTTTGTATTTACAGTTTTGAGGGATAAGCCTCTTAAATTTCTCTAACTAGAAATATATGTTAAAAAAACAAAAACGATTTTCAATTATTTTGTAGTTCATTGCACTTTTTTGCAATTTATGTAATTTCTATGCACTTAATGCAGACATACTATTAAAATCTAGGCTGTAATGGTTGTATTGATGTATAGCAACTTGAAATGCTCCCAGAAATGGCTCCACAGCATGTAAACATATAATATAAGCTCTGACGGACTTGGTTCTATGGCAGGTCTTAAAGGGTTAAATAATAAATAATTTCTGCCAGATAAGGCTGAAACATTTTCTTTTTCATGACTTCAGTTTGCATTATTAGGGGCGTGGCCTGTCCGACTGAAGGGTGGATGCTAGACCACGCAGGTCCATGCACACCTGCAGAGAAGAGGCAAGACCTGTGTTTGAGCGATGGCCGAGCGCAGCGGTCACCTGGATTGTGATGCGCCGGAGTTGATTGGCAGCACGCCGTACTCACAGTGAGCTCTGTTGCTGCGAGTCCTGCGTTCAGGTGGGCCTCGGCACCTGCAAGCCGCTGTGCAACCTGCCTTGTCCTCAGTGTTTCTTCTCTCCTTTTAATATTGAGCTGAGCGACGCAGACATATTGATGGTACTTGATGTTTGATGTGGCGGACTGGTGACTGCGTGTTTGTTCCAGCTGTTCCAGCTATTCAGCCACATGTCTCCAGGGTGTTCCTGGGCCTCTGAGTGGATGGACCAAGGTCGTGCTGTAAAGGTCAGACGCTGTTTGCTGACAGTGTCTCACACCTCAGCCCTCCCCGACACCCTGCTTGTCCTCACCCTCCGTCTCCAAGGAAACTCGACACGGTGGGCACGCGTTTCTGATGTTAGCGCTGCGACAGACTTCAGCTCAAACTCTTTTTGCTGTTTTCACCACGTTAACAAACTACATGTGACCCCGTTGAGACCCAGTCCTGGTCCTGGTTCAGCAGGTGCTGAAGCGCAGCTGTGTTTACTGTCAGCAGCTGGTCTTTAAAGAGACCGAGAGAATGACCTCCTTTCAGCTGCTGACACACACACACACACACACACACGCACGCACACACACACGCACGCACGCACGCACGCGCACGCACGCGCGCGCACGCACGCACGCACGCACGCACACGCGCGCACGCGCGCACGCACGCGCGCACGCACGCACACACAGCAGTCTGAAGTGTATTTCTATTAGTTTCTACTTTTATAGAGTGATGTGTGTTTCTGTGCACTGTGGTCGTGGTCCTCGGGGTTCCTGTCTGAAGGATTCAGGATCTCTCGGCATGCTCGGACTCCAGCTGACTCTCAGATGAACTTTGACCCCTCCCCTGGCCTGTTTCCATTCTCAGCTGTGCTGCTGCCAACAGATTTACATTCTCGGTGAGCTGAGCGCAAACACAAGCGACTCTGAGGGTGTGACTGATGCACGACGGCTCAGGGAGGGCCTCAGAGGCGACACCTGGAAAGGTACATCAGACTTCAAAACAGAGCCGAGTGCTGGGGGCCAAAGGTCACTCTAAAACTGTAAACAGTGACACGGTTGGCCCTGGATACTGAGCGCCTCCTTTTTGAAGAGCTGAACCTTTCTCTGATGCGCGTCACTCTTCATCTCCAGGTACTTTCTCCTCACCGCCATACTGTCCATGTAACCCCCCCCCCCCTTTCACTGGCGCTCGCAGCTCCTCATATGGCTGTGTATCGTGTTCATTCATACACAGACTGTACACGCCTCAGCAGCACGCCAAGGAGGTGACATCATCTGTTTACGCTACAGCGCGTCCTGAATGCAGCACGCACTCCACTTGTCTTCAACGTGGGACCCTGAGTCCAGCATTCCCAGCATTAAAGCTCCTTTGGCTGGATGCTGAACCATAAATTTCCCCCACTGCAGTGTGAGAGTGTGAAACTGTGCATGCAGATGATAATCAACGTGTGGAAATATAAGAAGTAAACGTCCCTCTGATTTCTGTTCAATATCAGCTCTGACTCAGACGTCATCAGCTCCTCACGTCACTGTCCGCCTTTAAACTGTCTCTGCAGTCATGCTGAGGAGCTGTCAGCTGCTCGTCCAGCTCAGCAGCAGCTGACAGACCCACACACTGAGCTCCTGCTGTGAGGCTCTCGTACCAGCACGTCCCAGAAGGCTGCGCTACAGAATAAAAGCCAGCCCTTGTTTATATACAGTCTGTGTATTTGATCCTCTGGTTGCAGTTGTCTCTCTCTCTCTGTGCATGCTTTAAGTCTCTTTCTGGGGTATTTAGCAGGTGACCTCTGACCTCTGCTCGGTGGAGCTAAAGAGGAGGAAATGCTGTGGTGATGCATGAAGCAGTGAAGGATGTGTTGGATGAACGCTGCACAGCTAAACAAGGACAGCAGCGGGATGCCACCGCCACACCCACTGTGCTTCCTCCCTTTACAGGAGGAGGAGGAGGAGGGCTGGGGCCAAGTCTCCTTTATTTACTGGCCTCCTTCCTTATTTGGAGCCACAGACAGACACTTCCCCTGGTGTCTGTGGTTTTAGGTTGAATTTCTCCTCATTTTTTCCCCTGGCCTTTCTGTTCCTGAGGAGTTGTAAGGAGGGCGGAGCCTCTGTTGTAGGAAGTTTTGATTTGGTCGTAGTAAAGTTTCCTTTTAAGGAGAAGCAGAGACCCGGACACATTCCTCCCTCTGCCTGGCGCCTCGTCTCCAAACACTACGATACCCATCAGCCTCAGCAACCGTCTCCATGGAGAAGAGGCTCGTTACCAAGAATGATGAACTGCTCAGGATTCACACAGGAGGTCACCTGTTCAGTGCTCAGTGTCAGTGATGTATTTCCTGATGAACCCTCGACTCGCTCGAATCTCTCAGCCAATAGGACAGCTTCTTTGCTCCAAACTACAACCGATCAATCACCTAACTCCACCCTCACCGCTCCCTCAGGAATCCGCAGCAGCCAGGTGTGGATAATCAGCTGATAATCAATCCTCTGATTACTGATCATCAGCTGTGAGAGTACAGCGACTTTCTGCAGCGTTCAGGTGTATTGATACAATCTCCTCCCCACCAACTCCACCCCAAAGACAGACCCTGAGCTCAGACTCTACAGGCCTCAGTGAGCAGGTTAAAGGTCACAGGTCATGGCTGGTTTCAGAGGCATGGTTAGCAAAGATGCGTTAGAACGAAGCACCGAGTGCGCCAAAGTGTATCAGCGCGAGGCCGTCCATCCCAAACCGGGTCATGAGCAGGACAAAGATCTGAGCACGGCAGCAAATCTCCAGAATGACTGAAAAAGGAAAGAATTGAGCTGCTGCAGCGGTCCAATCGGGGTGCAGAGCTCAGAGAGCTGTGCACGAACAAATGCTGCAAGCCTCGAGTGCACCAGAAGTCCTGATGAAGCCACACAGGAACCATCGTCACTGTTTCCAGTGCTGCTGACCACAGGAAGCTGAAACTGGCTCTAATGAGTCTTGCTTTGTGTTTCAGGACTCAGTGAGATCTTCATGTTTCACTCCTTCCTGTTTCTCACCTCCTACATTTCCCAGAATTCCTCTGTCCATAACACCATAAAAGGGTTGGTCTTTGCTGCCTGATGTCCGGACACAACAGTCCAAGCATTCTTCTTCCTGTTTTCAGCAGCCGGTCCCCCCGCCCTGCTGCGTTTGCCTTTTTAAGGAGATGGAGCGCTGTCTCCTCCTCCTCACACCGCTCTGCTCAGACCTTCATCAGTCTGAACGCCTTTCCCATAAACAACCACTGCCATAGAATCAGCAGACACGCCTGTGTGAGTTCAGACGTTAGCACAGGTTCGTACTGAGAGACCAAAAAATGCTATTTCCTGTGTGGAGTGCGGGCGTTAAACCTGAAATCTGCGTCTGCAGGACAGGAAGTGAAGTTGAACACAAACACCT